AAGGTCACGCAGAAGATACCCCCTAAGGGAGGGATACCTTCTTCCCAGGCTTCTAGCTCGGGAAACATTTGAGGCCGGTGGAAGTTTTAGCTGCTTCTACTCATGGTGAAGTGGGCCAGATACCCTCCCCACTTCATGAGATGGCCATAGCTAATGACTGTTTAGTCACCCCGCAGACTCATCTAGACCAAACTATGCTTTGTACGTTGGAAGTGTCTGAGGCCTTAGAAGATTTAGAAAGTGAGTGGTCAAGCAAGGACCCTTGCGAATCTTGGGTGGCATTAAGCAGAGGTCCTAGAGGGGAACACTTCGTCGTGGAGCCTTCGTAGACATCAACTTCACGCGAAACTCCAGAAGTCGCGACTGTTTGGAAAGGCTGCACCTAGAGGACCGGGTACAGCACCTTAGTAGACCTGTAGCATCTTCTTTGGCCAACAAGGGGCGCATGGTAGTGTCAGACTATGTCATGGATGTAGTCTGCACCTTCTCCTATGGAGGAGGGGAACTTAATCACAAGATTTTGTTCCTGGTTAGTGACGACTTACCGTTCGACATGCTTTAGGAATGTACTACCTTAAAGTTGCCAAGCCTCAATTTGACTGGGACAAGAAGGTGCTTAAGCATGAGTTGCCTGATGGGAGGACTGTGAGACTGGCCAAGTACAAGGCTAGTAGGTTGTTAGACTCCTACGGGTGCTTGTGTGCATCAACGTTTTACAACTACTATAAACAGAACCAAGAGGAGGGTATGTACCTAGTCTATGTCTCTGAGAAAGGGGAGGCTGTTAAAACACCCCCGGAGATAGAGAACGTCGTTACTAAGTTCCCTGATCTGTTCGAGGAGCCCACAGGAGTCGTAGACAGGGAGATTGTGCACGCCATATAAATAATTCCAGGGAGTAAAACCCCAAAGGGAAGGATCTATAAGATGGCTCCGGCCGAGTTGGACGAACTCCGGCGACAACTGAAAGAGCTGACAGAAAAGGGTTGGATACGGCCTAGTACTTCCCCCTTCGGATCTCCATTGCTGTTTGTACCGAAGAAGGGGGGATCGTTGAGGATGTGCATTGATTACAGAGGCCTCAATGCCATCACTGTGAAGAACGTTGAGCCTCTACCTCACATAGACGACCTATTGGATAGGGTGCAGGGATGTAAGTACTATAGCAAGATAGACTTAAAATCCGGCTACCATCAGATTGCCATAAGACCTGAGGATCAACACAAACTGCGTTTCATACTAGATACGGTCTGTACGAGTTTGTGGTGCCCGTTGGCCTTTGCAATGCGCCGGGTACATTCCAGCACGCCATGAATAGGATCTTCCATGACTACTTAGATAAGTTTGTCGTCGTGTACCTTGACGATATTCTTATCTTTAGTAAGTCTGTCGAGGACCATGCACAACACTTAGAAATTGTACTCTCACTCCTGCGACAACACAAGTTTAAGGTCAACCTAGAGAAATGTGAGTTTGGACGCACTAAGATCTTGTACTTGGGTCATGAAGTATCCGCGGCAGGGATTAGGCCGGAAGATGCGAAGGTGGCTAGTATAAGGGACTGGCCACGACCTCAGACAGTGACGGAGGTCAGATCTTTCTCAGGAATGTGCGGTTACTATAGAAACTTCGTAAAGAATTACTCTACAATCGCCTCTCCTTTGACTGATCTCACTCGACTTGATACACCGTGGGACTGGAGTGATGAGTGTGAGGCTGCTTTCAAATGATTGAAGCATGCACTCATGAATCATGAGGTTCTCATGGTGCCCGATCCTCAGAAGCCTTTCATTGTGACCACTGACGCAAGCCAATATGGCATTGGCGCAGTGCTGGCTCAGCAGGATAGGAAGAAGTTGAGACCGATTGAGTATATGAGCAAGAAAATGCCATCAAAGAAACTGGCAAAGTCCACCTACGAAAGGGAACTTTATGTCCTCTACAAGGCACTTGTCCATTGGAGGCACTTTCTGTTGGGACGGTTTTTCTACTTGAGAACTGACCATCAGACCCTCAAATGGATCAAGACTCAACCGGCTATTTTTGATGCTCTCAAGCGCAGGATTGAGGTCATAGATCAGTATGACTTCAAACTGGAGTATCTGAAGGGAGAGTGCAATAAGGTTGCAAATGCGCTGTCACGTAGGGCAGACTACCTAGGGGCGCTAGTTTCCAAATTTGGCGTATCTGAAGAAGTAACTCAATCATTGGTGGGAGCCTATCATTAAGACCCTGTCACGATGGACATCATACGCAAACTGCAGGCGAAAGATAAGGCCACAGAAGAAGAGTTTGTGATGGTGGACGGGCTACTCTTTCTTGAGAAGGCCGGGTTCAAAAGGTTTGTTATTCCATCTAGGGAACGTTTGCGTAGTTTATTTTTAGGGGAATGTCACGACGCAACCGGGCACTTTGGCTACAAGAAGACAAGCGCTAATCTGATACAGCGATTCTGGTGGCCCAACATGCTAGACAATGCTAAGAAGTATGTACAGACTTGCCAAATCTGTCAGCGGGACAAACCGCGCACTCAAGCACCGCTTGGATTGTTGAAGCCTTTGCCCATTCCCGCTGGTCCAGGACAGAGTGTCTCCATGGACTTCATGGACACCCTGATGACCAGCAGGAGTGGGAAGAGGCACATCTTCGTCATAGTTGACAGGTTTACCAAGTATGTCCGACTAATAGCTATGCCAGAAACAGCAATGACTGAACACGTCATCAAGTTGTTTATGGACAACTGGGTGCGTGACTTTGGGCTGCCTAAGACTATCGTTAGTGATAGAGATGTCCGCTTTACAGGTGAGCGGTGGAAGAAGACTGCTGAGCAGATGGGCAGTCAGCTTCAGATGACTTCAGGGAATCATCCTGAAGCTAATGGACAGGCCGAACAGATGAACTGGGTTGTGCAGCATCTGCTGAGGCATTCCATAAAGCCCAGCCAGGATGACTGGGATGAGAAATTGCCTCTCATCGCCAGCCTGTACAACAACTCCGTGCGCAGCGCTACTGGCGTCAGTCCAAATCAGCTGCACTTGGGATAAAGGCCTAGGTCTGCTCTGGACTTCCTCCTGCCTGAAAACCAACCTGCTGCAACTCCTGGAACCATGGACTATGGTGTCCAGTATGAGAAGTTGCTGCAGCAAGCTGTCGAGCACATCACGAAATCTCAGGAAGCAATGATTGCTTCTGAGAACCAACATCGTCGACAGTCCACGTTTCAGGTAGGGGAACGTGTTTGGGTAAGGGCTCGTGAGCTAGGACAGGAGTTCGACATCTCTAGAAAACTAATGCCACAATATTTTGGTCCTTGGGAGGTATTGGATGTAGTAGGTACTGATTTGGATGGTCCCTCATACGTTATCCGAATCCCTGGACCCTTGCGCACTTACCCCGTCTTTCATGCCTCAAAGCTTGCACCTTTCGCTAAGACAGATCAATTTCCCTCAAGGAGATCAATGCTGGCCCCAACCATGGATGGCCACGTGGACATCGACGACATCATGCCTGTTCCGAAACCACTGGGTCGAGGGAGACCTCCAAAACCCAAGAGAGAGTATCGTGTCAGATTCAGGCATCATACGGATCCGAAAGAAGATCGGTGGTTCACCAAAGAGGAACTGATTGATACAGCTCCTCAAGTGGTAGCAGAATATGAAAGGATGTTAAAGGGGAAGGGACCTGCAAAGTAAGCATCTCAGCGGACTTTCGAAGCTAAGGGGGATGGAATGTGAGGATTGAGCCCTCAAAGGGGCCCTGTCGACATGCATATGTTTTTGACACAGGCCCCAGCAAGCCTTGTGCGCGCCCTAAGTGAAGGCGGGCCAGAATATCCACGAGAGGCCTCCATTCGGCATTTCACAAAGTGGCTATCAGACAGTTGCCGCACGCCAGTTGGTTGGAGTGCATCTGGAGCCTCAGACTCCTGCAGAAGCGTTGAACCCAAGGCCTCGGTTGGTTGGGCCCTGGGCGACAGACCAGGAGGCCGACACATCACACATTGGATTTTGGGCTTATGGAAAAGCAGCATTTTCTCGTAGAGGCCGAGGATACAATGGGAAACTGGTACGGGGTCTGAATCTGGACAATGGTCCTAACCTAAGGGGCGCAACTGTATTACCTGGGCCCCATCTGCATTGGGCCTGGGTGCAGCTACTGGGACCCAGGCACAGGCTTGAGGTAGGCCGCTCACACGCGACACTGGCATATAGGCAGAGCGGGCGAGTGGGCGGGGATCTTGGCCATTGCGAGCAAAGCCGGGACGCTGCTGCATTGCGAATGCAGGTGCTGCACTGCGCAAGGATGAGTGAAGGCAGGCTGGCGCTAAGTGGTAGGGCGCAGCCTGGGCGCAGGGCGCTGGCAGCCATAGCCGGGCTGCTGGATAGCGCTGTGGGAGGTGAGGGCGAAGGTGGTTCTTCGGAAGGTGAAGGGCGCTGTGTGGGATAACAAGGGAGAGTGAGGAGAGAGAGAGAGAGAGACGTACCTGGTGGAGAGGAGGTCGGCATTGGTGTTGACGTCATCACTCGCTGGTCGTCAAGTTGTCTGGTTGCTTCCATGCTGTAGTTGTAGGTATAGGCTGTAGAGTAGATAGGGCGCCTGGCGCCATTCAAGAGAGAGAGCTACTTCGGGTTATGTTGTTGGTGTTGCCCTATTGGGCTTGGACATTGACTCACGACTTTTGCTGTATCGTTCTCAAATGGATGGTATCTTGGTTCCGATGTGCTATCTGCTCTTGCTTTGACTACTCGGACTTCAGTGTGATTTTGCAATTGGTATCTCTGTGCGTTGTCCACATTCATGTTCCTTGCAAGAGGGTCTTCGTTGTCAAAAAGCTGGAGTTGTGAGTGTTTCCTCAATTTTTGGTGTGCTCTCAGCCTTGTAATTTGGCTTTCAACTCAGCTTATACATGATTGGTCTTCTTTGAGCTTTTCCACCTCGAAAGTTTTCTGTTCTCATTGTATGGTTCCTTGCATGTGAATGGGAACGTTTGGTATTCGCAGGTGAAACTGCTGTCCAGAGTGCGTCATCGCCATTTAGTGCGGTTAATTGGCTATTGCAAGACGAATGCTGAGCAAATCCTTGTGTATGAGTTTATGGCAGGGGGATCACTGCGAAAACACCTCGAAGGTGGGACATAGTTAGCCAGTCTAAGTGAGATATACTTTGCAAATGGACATTTGTTTGTGGAAACCTCCCTCCCCGAATGCCACACACTCCTGTCTGTCTGTCTGCCTGTCACTGTGTTTGTCTGTCTGTTTGTCTGTCTGTCTATCCATCTACCCGCCCACCACCTCTTCTGTCCACACGTCCATTTGTCTGTCCGTCTGTCGGCCTGTTTATCTGTCTCGTTGTCGGTGCGTATGCTGATTGGACATCTGCCTTGCTGCTTGCTGCGTGGCTGACCGCCTGAGTGCCCAGTTGCTTGCCTACCTGCCTCTGTGTGTACCTGGTGGCCTACCCTGCTCCCCTTCTCTCCTACCCACTACCAGTATTCCTGCCGGCACACCTCCCAGCTTGCCTGCATGGCGGCCTTGCTTGTTTTGATGGGAGAAAAGGCCTCTCATTCTGTGAGAGGCCTCTTCTATTCTTAATTTCTCAGCAATATCAGTCAAATGAATGCGTTGGCATTTCACATTGTGTTACTCATATCAGGCATCACTTCCTGTTGTCTTCCAGTCCTTTGTTTCCTAAGCAGTCGCTTTCTACTACCCCTTCCCTCCTTGCTTCCTGTCATCCCACTCCAAACTTTGTGTTGCCCTTAGAATGGCCTCGTAAGCAGTGAGACATGTGTCGGTTCCTCCCGTGAACCTCTCGTCTAGATACAGGTTGCAGGTCTCTTCTCCATGGACCTTTCTTCCCGGTATCCCTTACTACATCCCCTTCCCATTTGTTTAGTTTCATTCCATCATATGTATTCATAGTCCTCTCTCTCTCTCTCTCTCTCTCTCTCTCTCTCTCTCTCTCTCTCTCTCTCTCTCTCTCTCTCTCTCTCTCTCTCTCT